CCATCACGAAGTGGACTCAGGTAGTGTTCATCATTGCCATCGTCGCACTGGGTCTAGAACTTGTGGTCGGTCTTTTCACAGCATGCTCACGCGCCGTTTCATGTGTCACTTGGATCATTTCTGGGTTTGCCACCGCTGCCATCATTGCCACTGCCGTTCTCCTGACCGTCACCGGCTCCATCGTTACCGGTGTTGTTCTGGGTGTCTCAAAGCACTACGGAGTCAAGGCCAATCTCAACAACAGCTTCTTAGCCGTCCTCTGGATCAGTGTCGCCTTCGCTATCGGCGCCGGTCTTTTCTGGCTGTTGTCCGTCTGCTGCTGCAAGCCGGAGAACCGTCCTCATGGCAAAGCCTCGCGTCACTTGGACACCGAAAAGCACGCCCCAACTGGCTCTTACGCTCCTCTTGGCGACAACCACAACTCCGGTTACGGCGGTTACAACTATGGTGCCCCTCAACGCGGTGGCGCTCGATCAGATCTCGCTTATGAGCCGTACTCGCATTCCCGGGTCTAAGCGGGATGTTGACGAATATAATGACAGATGCGCGTCGTTGATTAGATTAGAGGTTTCATATTCCTTCAGTTTGCATTTGCCGGCGCTTGGGCTACGATCGGGTTAAATGACCAGAGTGTGACTAGGGGGTTGTAAGAGAGTTAATGTGTGTCTCGACGGAATACCCAGGGCAATTCGATAAATCGATACCGTAATGAAATACATGATCACATTTTAAACCAGACTGAGCTTCATATCGTAGGCACTGCGCGAATCTCTCTGATCGTTGTGAAAACTTCAATGGCGCTAATCACGTGCTTGGGTTCTGAATACACCACACCGGCCCATTTGTTGGAAACCTTGCCCCGTCAACTTTTGTGATAGACATGCCCGTTGCCTCTGCACAATTTCCCCCTCTAAGGTGACATATGGCACCGTTATGAAGATACTGAAGCAATGGCTCATGAGGTAAGTCTGCTTTTTGCTTTTCGTTTGTGGAAAAATCCTCATCAAAGGTGCCAAGGCCCCACAACACGAGTCCCACCAAATCCCAGAAAATCAATGATATCAAAAGAGCATATCTATTCATAGGCCGCATGTATTAACGTTTACGACATGTAGGCGGCACCTCCAGGCCGACTCCGCCGCGAGTATGTGCTAAGCCCGATCACGGCACTTGCGTTCTTGACGCTGCATGAGAAGCCGTACCTACTCGCCGCCGAAGACACAGATATAAAGATCTACGATGTCGCGGCCTCACGACTCTGTGGCACGTTACCTGTCTTCCAGGCGCAACCTATCCACGGGATTTCTGTACCCCCGGCTGTGGCCCTCGGCAGTCCTAGCGCTTCCAGAAACCCCTCCCAAATCCTCGTCTGGGGTGGCCATGCCGTCAAAGTACTACCTACTCGCGTCGTAGAGGATCTGGTTTTCGCCAGATCTACGAATGGAGATGACAGTTCCCTCGAGAAATCCGGATTAGTGGCCACGGCGCTTTCTGCCCCTGAAGTTATAGCTCCCGATTGGATATTTGACGGCCGTGTCTCGCCCTTTGACGACACCCGCGTTGTTCTACTTACGGCGCATAACGAGGTCATCCAGGGGCATGTGAGCGCGGACCAGAAGACGCTTCTTATAGGCCGGGTACAATCCCCTTCGCGGCCGATCTTGTACTCGGGAAACTTCTTCTGGGTCGACCAGAACTGCGTACTTGTGGCTGCCGGAACTGTATTTGGAGAAATTGTGGTTTGGAAGTGTCATCTTGACTCCAACGTCGACACGGATGGCTGCGATCACGGTGCATCCGTGGACGGTCCACAGGACGGCAGAGAAGCAGTCGGCTGCGAGGTGCTGTTCGTGTTCTCGGGTCACGAAGGCTCGATATTCGGTGTTCATATCTCGCCTGAGATAGTCACGAGCTCCGGGGAAACGATCAGACTACTCGCAAGTTGTAGCGACGATAGGTCGATACGAATTTGGGATATTACAGAACGAAGCGACGAACCTACGAACGACGAAAACAAGTACGGGGCACAAATCTCCGACGCCCGGCAGACTGGGTTTGGCGATTCTATTGTCGGCTCGGTAGGGCTAGTTAACAACCATTCGAGGTGTGTCGCGATGGCGATGGGCCATGCATCGAGGATATGGCAAGTCGAGATTAAAAGTCCGGGTCTCCTTCCTAGAGGAGACGTGGTTGATGTTTATTCGTTTGGAGAAGATGCTACGATGCAGAAGTGGCATCTCGAACTAAACACAGACTCAGAGGCGGCTTCAAGAATACTCAAAATAGGGCCACCAAATAGCTTCAATCAACCTCCCTCTAAGTTGACACACCGCGAGACCTTTTCTAATCACAACGGGAAGCAAATATGGTCGCACGCCATGATTGCCACGAAAGATAGTCTCTTGATAGCTACTGGTGGCGGAGATGGCAAGATAGCGCTCATAGAGCATGGCTCCGATTGTCCGTTAAAAACCTTGAAAGACACAACAGACGACGCCGGCCATTACCCACGGCTGGTCCAAGAACTTGATATATCTCCAATATCCCTCATCGAGGAATGTCAGCATCAAGACCTTGGAACTACCTCCTCTATCTCGTCTTTCAAACATGGAAACGGAAAGGAGACGTTCCAAAGTTTTACATTCGTCACGGATGATAGGCTACTGATCACGACAAGGTCTGGTCGCCTATTCCTAAGCAGCTTTGGCAGCAAAATAGAGTGGAGAGAGCTCGCAATCCCTGATATTATTCGAAAGAGCATACAGTCATATACTATCCTTAGGAGTTCAAGAAGAGCTGCGACAGCTTTCATTGGCGCTCCGAACGGCGAGCTATTTTACTATCATGAGGCCAGTGATGATTCGCTTCAGTCAGTTCACAAGGCAGAGCGAAAGATCACGGAAATTATTTGTCTATCTGATACCTTAGCTTCGTCTCATACGGGTCGCGACTCCGCCGGCAAACTTGATAGGGATATCGAGATCTTTGTCACGGTGTTCGGAAACACGAAGGCGGAACTTCTCCGTCTTGATCAGAACCACACTTTGATGCAACGGACGGAGGTCAGAGTACCTGACGAATTCATCGTAACGAGCGCCGCATGGTGTCACAGCTACCTCATCCTCGGTTCTAGAAACGGGAGCATGTCAGTCTTTGACCTGGCCACCAATGGGGATCACTCTCCTATTACGACCATAGAAGTTAAAAAAGGTGACAAGATCACCTCTATTCTCCCCTTACCACGGCGATCTAAGCACTCGCCACTTTATTTCCTCACGACTGCTCGTGACGGGAAATACAGGGTCTACGAGATCCTCAATACGACAGATAACTTCCGCGTCCGCTTACTGCACGAGACCAGACCGCCATTCGGGCCCCTAATCGAAGGGTCATGGTTATTCGATAAGCCGGACGGGAAACATGACCTCATGCTCTGCGGCTTCCGGGGCAAATACTTCGTAGTCTGGAACGCGACGCAACAGAGCGAGGTCGCGACGATTGATTGCGGCGGCGGACACCGTGTGTTCGACCAGGTGCAGATCGGGGGAAACCCCGAAGGTCTCAGGTTTGCCTGCACCAAGGCGTCGCAGATGAAGATCTTCTCGCAGATGCGCGCTCCGCATCTCCCGCTGAAGACGGGCGGCCATGGCCGCGAGATTAAGGCCGTGTCGGCCTCGGGAAAGTACGTTGCTACAGGCGCCGAGGACACCATGATTCGTATATGGGAACTCCGCGGGAGGAGCCGAGGAGAGCAGCAGTTGCGTTGCGTACTCGCTTTGGAGAGGCATACTACGGGCATTCAAAAGCTGAAGTGGTCTAAGGATCAATACCTCTTCAGCAGCGGTGGTAACGAGGAGTTCTTCGTCTGGCGCGTTATGGCACTGGAAAGCGATATTTGCCCGCTCGGTGTCGTGTGTGAAGCTGTGTTCCCCGATCGCTCCGAAGTGGGCGATCTACGGATTATGGATTTTGATGTGCAGTGTTTGAGCGAGGATGCCACCGCTGATGATGAAACTGAGAGCAACGATATAGCATCAGAAAAATCGCAGTCAGAACCGAAGTTCTGCATCTCCATGTCACTCTCGAACTCTACGGTGCAAAGTTATCTCTACTCTGCACGAAAAGGGTTCCAGCTGTTGGGCAGGCGGACGTATACCGGGGCCTGTCTCACACAACTTAGACATCTGAATTTCACGGACGGATGCTACCCGCAAGTCCTGACGGCTGCTACTGATGGCCATTTAGCTGTGTTCACAGGCATACAATCTCCGGAGAATGAAGCCGAGAACTCGAAAGACATGCTCGTCACAAAACTCCATCAAAGCACCGTGAAATCGCTCGACATGCGCAGCATCACGACAGACACCGGGACATCATATCTAGTCGTCACAGGCGGCGACGACGACGCGATCGGGGTGATGCATCTCTATCGCCCCTGGGAGCAAATGTACGAGATCCGCAGCAAATCCATCGTGCGCTCCGCGCACGCCGCTGCCGTGACGGGTCTGGGAATAGTGCGACTCGAGAACGAGGGGCGGGATGCGGTGGTCGTGACCGCGAGCAACGACCAGCGCGTCAAGACATGGCGGCTCGTTGACTGGCAATCCGCCTCCCCGCGGGTTCAACTGCTTGATGATCGGTATAGCGGCGTTGCGGATGCAGGGGACTTGGAGATGGTGGGAGAGGACTGGATAGATGAGGACAAAAGCCACCTGGACAGGAAAAATAGGGGGAGGGTCTTGGTTGCCGGCGTTGGTATCGAGGCTTGGGATGTTTCTTGATAGCACATAGAAGGGGATGCTAGCCTGCTTTGAATAAAAAAGCCCTATGTTACTTACTAGAGAGGATACCAAATATTAAAAATTCATCATGTCTCTCTATGTAGATGTGTTTGGGCGAGGCGAATTCATGATCCGGAATGTACGTGAATTCTCTTTCCTTTATAAGCGCCGACTCCCCGACACGTTGCCGTTAAGTAATTACACCTCACTCAATACGACGTTTTCGTGGCCTAGTTGGTTAGGGCGTCTGTCTTACAGAGAAATCTTGAAGCTCACAGAAGATCCCCGGTTCGAGCCCGGGCGAGAACAGCTTTTTCTTTATCTTTTTTAGCCGTCATTCGCTTGGAAGTTGGTTCTAATTAATGTTGCTCTTTGTGTTAAAGCAGTTCTTTTTTATTAGTACATAGTAGCGGTGCAGCGGTACCTTTCTCCAATCTTATCGATACGCTGATCGAGCTTAAATGTGGGGCATCGATTTCCTTACTGTTGGGATCATACCTGCTAATGCACGCTGCCACAGCGGCGAGAAAGAGGCTCCAAGCACCATAACACCTCAGGGCTTCGTGATACCTATGGAACCGTCTAAAAATGAGCAACACAGCAACTCGAATTTTGCTGCGTCAGGGACTTGCACGGACCCAGGCCGGGAGAATGTAAATCTACCTAATTGACCCCCTGAATGCCCTGGCTCACCCTTATGACAGTAGCTACGATGTAGCACGTGCAAGCATCGCGAACCCGACATGCCAGCGTTGTCAACGACCACTCCTCGCGCCCGCCGCTGCCAGGTCACTGCTGCACCCTTTTACCGGCACGCGGGCCTTCCATGCGTCTCCTACGTCTCATAGAAACAAGAAACAAGATCGGAAGCCCGCGCACCAAAAGCCGACCGAGAAACCCGTCAAGAGCACCAGCACCAGCACCAGCACCAGCACCGACTCAAACGACGGACCAAAACACCCCCAGCCGTCTCCCGACGAGCCCCTCAACTTCGCCGACGTCGAGTCCCGCCTACAGCAGCACGCCGAGCACTTCAGGGCGTTGCTGAAGAAGATGCAGACGGGCGGGCGGTTCGACCCGGACATGGTGGGCGCGCTGCGCGTGACGGTGGACAAGAAGGCCGAGGAGGTGTATCCGCTGCGCGAGCTGGCGCAGGTGGTGCCGCGCGGGGGGCGCGCCGTGTCGCTTCTGGTGCACGAGGCCGGCTACGTGAAGCCCATCATGAGCGCGGTGCAGGCGAGCCCGGACTTCAACCAGCAGCCGCAGCGCGACCCGGACAACGAGCTCGAGCTGGTCCTCAAGATCGAGCCCGAGAAGCGCGACGAGCTCGTCAGGAGGGTCAAGGCCGTCGCCCACGAGTGGCGCGAGCGCATCCGCGCCGTCCGCCAGAAGAGGGACAAGCTGCACGCCACCTGGAAGAAGGAGGGCACGCTGGGCCCCGATCTCAAGAGGACCGCCGACAAGGAGCTCGAGAAGATCATCAAGGCTGCTGTTACTGAGGTTGACGAAGCGGAGAAGAACACTGTTAAAATCGCCGAGTCGAAATAGAGCTGTGTATTTGTTGGCTCGTCGCGTGGTGCACATTCTATGATAGGTGAGGGCTTGACTGCATAGCATTGTGTTGTCTAGAAGCATACTTTCGCGTCAGAGAAGATATAAAACGGATTTCCTAGGCGTGTGTGTGTACTTGTACATTATATAGTTGCTCTTTTACAAAAGTGCTATGGTACAGTTAAGTGCCAGAGCGGTAAATCTAGCTGTCTCATGGGCACATTCATCCTCGATTGTTCTCACATCTTCAATGTTCATCCTCTTCAAGGAGCTTTTTTTTGTCTCTAAGCGTTTGCGCGAGCAGCCGTTGCAGGTCCCGTCTTCCCGCCAGGCAGCAGGCTCCTAACCTTCTCCTCGATACGTCGCTGTGCATCCGAGTTCCACGAGGCGTCCCTCCGGACATAGTTCCGCACAACACCGAGCGAATCCTTAAGCTCAGTGGACTGCGGACCCTGGTACGTGCCGAGCAACGCGTCCTGGAGAACCGCATCCTTGGTCTCTTTGGGGACCGGCGGGAAGGCTTCCAACCCCATCGCCTCCGCCGACCAATTCTTCACCTCCTCAGTCGGGAAGAACACGCCCGTGCCCTCTTTATACTGTGTCCACAAGTCGTCCGACCGCAGGGTATTGAGGGGGTGGAACGGTTGACCACCTCCGAGAATGCGCGCCTGGCGTATCACCGTCTCATCTTTCGCGAAGCTCGACTTGGCCGTTGGCACGGCGGGGCCCCAGCCCGCGAGGTCGCTCATCGAGATGGAAGGGTCGAACTGGTACAGCAAGCCTTCCGCCTTAGCCTCCCGCATGGCGATGACCTCGGGGGACCATTCGGTTCCCGCAGAGTCTCCTTCGTCTCTTCCTTCTTTCTGACCTCGTCCGCGTCCGCCCCGTCCTCCCCGTCCTCCCTCCCCGTCTTCGTTCGATCGCCTTCCGCCACGACCACGGCGTGCCGGACCCATGCCGCCACCTGCGCCGCCGCCCCATCCACCTCGGCCTCGACCTCGACTCGACGCTCCGCCGCGGTTAAATCCGCCTCTGCCTCTGAAGCCACCTCGCAGACCGCCACGGATGATGTTCGGACCGCCGCGAGAGGAAGCGCTAGGAACCGCGACGGAGGCGGAGTCGGACCGTAGGTCGAGGCTTCTGAAGACGGTATTCGATCTCTGGGGCGGCCGTGACGAGTTCCCGTTGTTCATCTCTACTAGATCGGAGAAGGCGGCGGCGGCGCGTTGCCTTCCCGTCGGTCGCGGGCTGCTGTCATTGATACCGTCTCGAGGTGCCGCGGCGAGATGCTGGGCGGTAGAGAATGCGCGCAGAGAGGCCGCGATGCCGTCGGTGACCCGGCTGAGATCAGCCCTCGTGCGGCCGATGGCCGAATTGAATGGTTGGCGTATCATCGGGCCCAATTGATGTGGTTTGTGATATGAGGTGCTGCTCGAGCTCCCTGGTCGGAAATTTTGAGGGTCAGAGACGCTCGGACAGGTGATACCGATTTTGGGTGTATGTATGCATTAAAACGAGTATCCCGTATAACGGGGGTCCCCTCCTAGCCGGACTAACAGCAACAACAAGGGGCACTTATAGAAGCTAGTCATCGCGAGGTAGTAAAACTTCGTGTTATTCCATTTCGAGCTGTTTTGTAATATATCGTTTCATTGTTATATGTCCCTTAATGACTAAGCCTGTTTCTAGCTCTGTAGCGGCTTGCCCATGCCACCGTATGTGATCATCTTAATATGCTGGTATTCCTCTATGCCGTACCTGGATCCCTCTCTGCCAAATCCAGACTGCTTGACACCTCCAAATGGCGCGGCTGCGTCAGAGATAAGACCAGTGTTGACGCCTACCATGCCAACCTCCAGTGTTTCTGCTACCCGTGTTATCCTCTCCAGGTCCCTCGAGAAGAAGTAGCCGGCCAATCCGACCTCGGCAGCGTTTGCTAGGTCCACGACTTCCTGTTCGGTTTCAAAGGGGAAGAGGCCGGCGACAGGGCCGAATGTTTCTTCGCACGCGATAGCCATGTCTTTTGTCATACCTGTGATCACGGTAGGTTGGTAAAAGTTGGACCCGAGCTCTGGCATCTTCTGGCCGCCCACGACGACCTTTCCGCCTTTCTGCTCCGCGTCCCTCACATGGGCGTCGACTTTGGAAACGGCGCGATCATGGATCAGGGGACCGTGGGTAATGCCTTCGTCGAACCCGTGGCCCACCTTGAAGCCCTTGACTTTTTCGGCGAATTTCTTAGCAAACTCATCATAGATGCCTTTCTGGACGTAGATACGATTTGCACAAACGCAGGTTTGGCCTGACGAACGGAACTTAGACGCAATAGCACCCGCCACCGCGGCATCGACGTCGGCATCGTCAAATACAATGAATGGTGCATTTCCGCCCAACTCCATAGATAGGATTTTCAGAGTCGATGACGCCTGCTTCACCAGAAGTTTTCCAACACCCGTAGAGCCTGTAAAGGAGATCTTTTGGATGGTAGGATGCGTTGTCAGAGTCTCGCCAACTTCGGGGGTGTTGTTGAGCGCAGTCACAACATTCACAACGCCCTTTGGTATCCCAGCTCGGTGTGCAAGCTCTGCTAGTGCTAGTGATGTGAATGGCGTCTCGCCCGGGGCCTTGCAGACAGTCGTGCAGCCTGCAGCGAGGGCAGGGCCAATCTTACGCGTGATCATCGCGGCGGGGAAATTCCACGGCGTTATCAGCCCGCAGACACCCACGGGCTGCTTCAGCGTCACCACTCTATTACCGGGCACGGTCGCCGGTATCGTGTCGCCGTATGACCGCGGAGCCTCTTCGCTGAACCATTCGAAGAACTGCGCGGCGTAATTAACCTCGCCCTGTGCGTCGGCGAAAGGTTTGCCGTTCTCCAGAGTGATCAACCTCGCCAAGTCCTCCGAGTTCTCCATTACCAGGTCGTACCATTTCCGTAATAGCTTGGACCGCTCGCGGCCGGTCTTCGTGCGGAAGGACTTGAATGCCTCGGCGGCGGCGGCGATGGCCTTCTCGGTGTCTTTCGCGTCGAATTCGGGGCAAGTTCCAATGAGCTTTCCTGTCGCGGGGTCGTGGACCTCGAAGGTCTTGCCCGAGGCAGCTTTCACCCATTCGCCATTCACGTAGCACACGTCCGTCTTGAATAAAGAGGGGTCATTGAGCTAAAGCCGTCAATCGACGAGTCAATTCCTTTCCCATACCGATGCCAAGTGCTTGTACCGGGAGAGGCTCACCTTTGGGGAGATTGTGGAAGCTAACCTCGAAGATACTAACGGAAGACTAGTTCTCTGGAACTGTGATCTAATAGCGAGCCGCGTGGCGGATGCCGCGCTCTTCTGTAGAGAGCGTATCAACGTCATGCTGTGCAAATTTGACACGCTAAATTGATTGGAGTTATATATCGTCAAAGGGAGCTGCAAGCTAGATCAGGGATAAACACAGAACGTGAGACGAGCCTACTATCTAACAAATTGGTAATGGGAGCTTTCAGGGAAGCTTATCCCCAATAATGACGTTTTCCGGTCGACCCCAGCCGCAGCTATCTACCTAGTCTGCGGTGTTAATCGGGATCGGCTATTGAGGGGCAGTACTTTGTGCTATACCCCTTGCAGCCAAGGGGTTTCGGAGTTAAACAAAGCTCTTCATCGGAGTGGTGCTTATGCACAACAGATGCACAACATCCAATTCCCTCCATTCACCCTCGAGTTTTATGAGGCTCGTTTCATTTCAACTTGAATGGGCCGAAAGTCGGCCTTGAA